GCCTCTGATGACATGATGTGACATTTATTAATAAATGCATCAATGAAAAATGTAAAATGCATCTTGTGTGTGCTGGTGATTCACTGCGATTACTTGGAGTTCTGCAAGGCGCCAATCGTGCGATTACCACAAGCACCATATTATCACAAGGTTGTGGGACCGTAAGGAGTGCAGGCGGCTTATGGAAACGCTTAAGGGAAAGGTGACTGCCATAGGTGTGGAGGAACTCAAGTGGCTTGTACAATGTTTTGATCTCAACCCGGAATGCCTTTGGCATGAAATGGAATGCAGACTGCAGAGCCAAGTCTTCTAGCCCAGAACTTGACATCATCAATGTTCTTTTGGTTGAATGGGCACGCATAACCACAGACACTTCAAAATCTTATGAAAAGTCTTCCTGGAGAAGTGGAAATTGTTATAGTCACAAAGAGGAAGTGGCAACTCTATATGAATGGTCATGGTTTTGGAATTGGATGTCAGACAAGCTCAAATAGGTGTGATGGTCGGGTGACCACAAACGTTAAGCCATATAGTGTCTAAAAATATTGTTAGTACTTTAAAATGAAAGTTTTGGGGTATTCAATTATGTTTTTAGATACGCATGAAAAAGAGATCAGGATTGTAATCCCTCAGGGGCAGGGCCCTCATTACCATCTTGTCTTGTATTGTGATTGTAATGTCTTCCTTATATTGTAAAGCGCTGCGCAAACTGTTGGCTCTATATAAATCCTGTATAATAATAATAATAATATGTTAATGTAAAAAAAAAAAAACTTTGTAATTATACATGTACTAGGGGCAGCCATATTTGCTAATATGCTGCTAATAACTCAGCAGAGCTACACAGTGGTTGTTCTTTATGGTTCTTTCTCACAATAGAACTCTGTAAGCTGGCTGACTCATTAGATCTCTTTGCTAAAGGAAATGTCACACCGATGGTTCCGTAAACTCGGCATGATCACTCAAACATATATTCATACAGTTCGCTTACAAATGTGGTTTGCTAAACAGCACCTTGCCCAGCTGCTGAATGAAAGCCAGGTAAGTGGTTGTGCATCTAGAATCAAAATTGTATTTTCTCTCATTTTTGGGGGACAATCTTACACCATTACCTTTCACCATTACACCATTTACTTTTCATGTAAGAAGGAGTAAAGGATATCTAAGATCAAGAAGAAGAATTTACTATATTGCAGCTTATCAGTCCTTAGATGTAGTGGCTGCATTAGTTTCTATTCTTCAGGCTAAGAACATTTTCAGCGAGTACAGAAAATACCTGTTGATGTGACCAGAAATGCAGTTTGTGGTCAAGCAATAGGCATTGCAAAAAACACACTTTAAGAATCCAGAGCAGTACTTTACTGATTCCACAATTGTCAAGAAGATGACAAGAGACAGCCAACACATCTCTGGGACTCAACAACCCCCTTTCATCAGGCTTAAGCAATTCCTTGCACATATTCAAAAGGACTCAGGAGTCTGGGCTTGTGTATCAAAGCCAAAAAAACAGTCTCTAATGGTTATCATTTATAGACCGCTTTGCAGTAAGATAATCCATAGTGTTTGGCTACAAAGATTTTACTAACTGGGTAACCCCTGAACGCGTGGTGAACCCAGTAAATGTGGGTAGCTACTGTACACAGCACATTGGGCTGAATCAAAGACACTCCACCAACCACCTAGAAAACTGGGACCAGTGCTTCACTCTCACCTCCATCACAAATGCAGGGTCCTTGTCACTTCCTGTAATAGGCTGGAAGGAAAGAGCTGCATGATGGTGGACATCCTCCAGCCAGGAAATGAGGCGGGCTCTATCTGACTTGCTGCAGTTTCTAATGCACATCGTGAGAAGTTCGCAGTGTGCAGTGAAATGTGCAGTAACCAATTTCAGTACAGGAGAGGAGTCGGTACACCTGTGTAAGACTGAAGAGAATGCCAGAGTTCAGCTTTAAAGGAGAACTATGAGGTGAGTGCTTTTCACTCACCTCATAGTTCTAGCCGACCTGTGACAATGAGACTGTCACAGGTCGGCTCAGTAGATCGGGAAGTGAGCGAACACATACCGGCGTTCGCTCACCTCTCGATCCTGTCACGGTGCTCTGCCGTGACAGGGGATGGGCGGGATTCCCCCCTCCCCGCTCTGATCCGCCAGCGCTGACTGGAGGAACGGACGGGGGAGGTAGATATATATAGGTATATATAGGTAGAGCCAGCTGTCAGTCACGCAGCTGGGCGGATCACGGCACAATTGTCGGGATCCGCTTCAGTTGCGGAGTCTCAGTATACCGCGAGCTATAGCTCGCGGTATACTGAGCCTAGGGTGACGGGAGGACGCTAGTTTGTGTCCTCCTGTTACGCTAAGGAGAACTATGGGGAAAAGCCTTAACCCCATAGTTCTCCTTTAAGTCCACACAAAATATTCAGACACAGCGTTTAATTCATTACTTGGTGTTCTTACTGTATACAAATGTAAGATCATTTTTGAGATAAGAAAAAAAAAGCAAAAATCAAATAAATAATGGGGAGGAATGTGTATGGGTTGGAGGAGACCTGTAGATACCTGTACACAGTGAGTATCTTAACACACACATTCCTTAATGCAACTTACAGTGTATTTACTCTGTTCCCAACCTTTCCTCCGCAGAGGAATCCTTGAAATAATTGTCTCTGGGAACCCCTGATGAAAATGTATAATCAGTAATTTGTAGAAAGTCTTAAAGAAATAAAGAATGTGACTTTCCCGGAATGTTTCACACTCATGGCAGATCATGTGTTAACACCCCCTCCTCTGTACCAGCCTTTCTCAACCAGGGTGCCTTCTGGCTTTGTCAGGGATGCTTTCATATTTTCGCACAGTGTTATGCATTTTCATGATGCAGGTGAGTAAGCCACAAGTACCATACAAATACATGATGCTAATCCAGGAGGGGCTGCATCCAGGATCTCCCCAGGATTTAGAAGAGAACAGAAATCCACCTCCATCCAGACCTGCTCCACCTGTCCACCTCTGCCACACTGTGGTTGAAGATTTTAAGGTAGGACTCTGATGTGGAGGGGAACTGAGGACTCTGATGGGACAGGGGCTCCTGATGGGAAGGGGGCTCCTGATGAGAAGGGGAATCCTGATGGGAAGAGGGCTCAGGAAGGGAGGTAAGCTTCTGATGTGAAGGGAGCTCCTGACGGGAAGGGGCTCCCAAAGGAAAGAGAGCATCTAATGTGAAGAGATCACCTGATGGGAAGGGGACTCCTGAAGGGAAGGTGTCTCCTGATGGGAAGAGGACTCTTGATGGGAACAGTGTATGTATAAAGTCACTCGCACTCCAATAGATTTTCAAGTCAAAAACGGTTTATTGACTTGAAATTCTATTGGAGTGCGAGTGACTTTGGATTGCAGAAGCATCTGCAGTCACTTTGGCACCCACCCGACTCTAAAGGTATTATTCGGTCAGGAGTACGATGGTACACTGGATTTTCGATTTGATGGGAAGAGGGCTCTTGATGGTAAAGTGATTCCTGATTGGAAGAGGGGCTTATGATTGAAAAGCTGTGGACTCTGATGTTAAGGGGCAAACTACACATTTTTTGGTCCCCCCATAAAATCTATATTTTATCTTGGATAAGGGTCTGGTAAAGATTTTGAGGAGAACCACATATCATTTTTTACATTTACTTTTTTACCTTTTAGTGCCTTGAGATTTTGCATACCTTTTAAGGTTGTCATGACTGAAAAAAGGCTGAGAAATACTGCTCTATACAACCGAATTATTTCAGTAAATGATGATAATAGAAACAGGATATGAAAATTGTGGTAACTCCTAACACTGGTGAACACAGTAGACATAGGAATTAAAGCACCACACCAATTAAAATAGACCAGATACAACTTTATTCCATTAGGGTCAGAGGACATTCAAATATCCAACACATTTTGTGGGTCCAAAACACACACCCTTCATCAGGGTCTGTTCTTGACTCAGTTGAGCTATTTATGGTATTTCTCATTCACTTTTCAGATTATGTTTAATCCCTGTTGAGCTGACCAGGATCGACCATTGGGTGCAGTGTCTTGGTGCTCCTGCAAGTACTGCCCATGCTTGGGTCGGCCACTGCCCTCGAGATAGCTAGAGATCTGTGATGTAACAAAGGGAGCAGTAAGGAGCTTACAATAGCCTCTGTGCATACGTATTGTGAGATGGGATAGCAAGAGGAATGACATGGGTTACCTTAAGGCTGAGAAGCATCTGAAATAAATATTTCCTATCCCCCTCAGCTCCCATAACGCAGTATTACACCATAATACATTCAACCTGAAAAGAAAATACAATAAGAGCACTGCTTTTTGCCATTACTCGCACAAAATGAACATTCACAGATATTCACAGGCCTCTGTGAATTGTTTGTAAATAGACCCCTTACCTAAACTTAACCCCTAACCTAATTCTGAAAGTTAACCATTAAGAATTATCCTGACCCTTATGCTGGCCATACACCTATATATTATCTGCAGATTTTCTATGGTCAGATGGAAAAAGTGCAACAGATTCCTCCATCTACGCTAAATTGTGTGGATGGAGGAATCTCCCACTGGGCCAAGAAAATCTATAGGTGTATGGCCAGCTTTACACTTATCAAAGTCTACTAACCTAAACCAGTAAACTAACAACTCCTATAACTTCTTAAAAGACCTTATAGTAAAAATGACTTTAACAACACCAAAAAAAAGTCCTGCGCCAAGTGCACCAATCCTTTAATGGTTGCAATAAGACTGCACAGCAACAAGACCTCATCACTGATATCTAATGACAGGGTTGTTTATTCATTCTAATTCACAGGAAATTCATTGTGAAATATGAGATTTCAGGAAAGTGAATGGCAGAGGCAGGAACTCCTACAAAGAGATCTTGATGATGGAGTTCCTAAAACATATAAGAACTCAATGGGCGATTCAACACTATGGTGGCTAAATATAACTGAAATGTTGCTAATTGGTGGACTGGCACTTGATCCTTTGCTTGCAACACGGTTCGACTCATCACATCAGTGGGAAGCTGGCAAGGTTGGTGATGCCACAGGCGTTGTTCTTGTCTCTTGCTAGCAGTGCAAAGCCTTTTCTTCCCCATTGTGTTCCCCAGCTGGAAGAGTACACAGAAAACGTATATCAGTATACAGCCTTATATCATACAGGGTTTCACAAATGGTCTGCAAAAGAGAACCGTGTAAGAGCAGATCCCCTCGTTTGGAGGAGTTACTTTCTGCTGTTTCTACGGGATGGGAAGTGAGCACAGCTGAAAAAAAACCTGGCCTGGGTGAAAACCATTTCCTAATCTATCCAAAACTAGAAAAAAAAAAGGTTTTGACCTTGTATATACTTTAAAAATACATTGCAGATCAGTTACTGTGGGTCATTTGGTTTTCTAAACTGTCATTTTTCATTTATATCATATAAGTCATTTGTCAGCTTTCTTTTATTTCCAAGGTTAAAATTGAAGTTTAATCTGCTTATTATTGACCTTTTCTGGTGCTTCCTCACCTCTTCCCACCACCAACTTGCTAATTACATTTTTAAATGAAACCTTTCCGTTTCTTGGGAGTTGTGCAGATATCAAAATGCCTCAAAACACCAGTGCTACAAACCAAAAACGCTAACCACTAAGCCATATTTCTACCCATACCAAGACAACCCCAGCAGCAGAAGAAAAGATCTACCTACCTATTCTTGACGATCCAGTGCTTGACCCCCTTGAGATTGCCATAACCAACAGCCAGGATAGCATGATTGATCCCTTCGGGGTCACAATTTTTGTCATAATAAACTCCTGCAGAGATAACACACGAGTTACTGGAGGTGAAACAAAAGAGAAACCTTCATTCTCCTTTAATCCAAAGCCAACAACAATTTTCTAACAGCTACATCTGTTGTTCTTTTCTATTTTGTACTGAAGCCATGATGCTCAAAGAACCTACATCAAAGATTCAGATTCCACCTAACTGTATTCAGAGCATTGAGGATGATTTCTGAAGATTAGTTTTTCTATGTGGTTGGCAATTTGCCATCTTTCAATTTATCTGACAAAGATCAAGAAGTGCCGGACCTACAAGAAGGACTTATTTACTGTAATTAGACCAGTTAACGATGGATTCTACAGTGAAGATGTGGGTTGGAGAAGTCAATACTTAACTTAGACTAGGAAAGATTGTGTACCAACAAAGGGGGATGTCCCACCAAATTTAAGAGGATGTGGCCGGGTTGGCTAACCTCACCCACACTGGCACCACTAGACCATTGGTTATGATGAAATTCTACCAATGTGAGGACTTACCTGCTACCTCCCGCAGGGTCCCACGCCGTCGGGTGGTCTCCTTGTATAGCCGGAGACCGAGCGTGCTGCTCCCTGCAGCGCCGAGCCCGACGGCTGCTGCTTTGCTGTGTCTGCTCTTCTCTTCGTCCAAAGCCCAGAAGGAAGAGGCACACATGTGTACTGGACTGCCTCTTAAAGGGACAGTGCACGCCTCTTCAAGCAAGTGGTCCGCCCCTGGAAATTATGTCATCTCATCTCCAACAGGTATATAAGCAGGACGGGTGAGTCATTCTGTGCTTGGTTATTGTTAAGCTTATCCTTTCAGTGCCTAGTGTTATACCTGTTCTGATTCCTGTTACCGAACCCTGGCCTGTTCCCTGACCTTGATACTTTGCTGCCTGCCCCAACCTCTGCTACATTCTACGACTTTGTTTCTGATTCTGCTACCGTGCTCTTGGACTGCCCCTGTACTGGCTATCACTACGCAGGAGATTGTGTGTTATCCTAGTCTACTTGAGTAGAGGTACCACTCGTACTGGCAAGTCACCCACGTCTGGGCTCCTACCATCACCAACCTGATAACCCATGAAGGGTTTTCCCCCCTCCATCTCTGTTTTGATGGGCCACTGCACAAACACAGGGTATGTATCGGACACCAACTTACATTGCCATACTCATTGTGTTCAGGTACCATTGTGAATGAAACCTAAATCTTTGGCATGTCTAATAGACTTTCACATGCACTTATACATAAATAGTGCTTGAAATTGAAATACTATTCTCTACAAATGGAACTTCTCTGTATGTATCTTCTTCTTTCTATGCATACGCTTTGTACCATGGGTCTCACTGTTTGTTCATCTAAATGGTTGTGTGTATACGAAATAAAAATAAAAAAAATTCTGCAATTAAAAATGTCTTATTTGAAAAGAAAGGATGGTTTCTGATTGGTTGATGTGGATTACTGCCCTTTGTGCGTAGTTTGCTGTTTTGTGCAGTGGGAGCTGCTAATTCTTGGCATGAGGCTTTTGTCAGTCGAAACAAGTAAAAAAAATAAAAATGTGTTCAAGTATATTTCTGTTACCTGTACCGAACACTTAGCCTGATCCTACAACCTACAGAAACTAGATTATCTTAAATAAGATACTTAGCTTTCTGTGCACCTCCACCACTCAGTCCATTGGAGTCAGTTGTCCAAACCCTGTTAAGCGCAGTGTCCGATGGTATTGGAGCTTACACAAGGCTCAAGTTCCCCTCCCTTGGTCCTGTGACAATGTTAAGACCTGGTGATTGGCCCCTAAGGTCCAAGCGCTGCATCCTGGTAGGTCAAATGCCCCCCATAACCAGATGCATTAAGTAAAAGATGCATAAAGTAAGCATGGCCAAGTTGGGGAGTGCAACGAAGATGCGTTTTAGAAGTTAAGGGGCTGTTTTTTCGAAAGACCTTCCTACTTTGCCCTGAATGAAAAAAACCCAAACCCCCCCCCCCCTTCCCACACCCTTGGCCCAAACCTCAAAGTCAGGGACAGACTGCACGGGCAGAGAGGAAAGGTATGTGTGCTGTCTGCCAGGTTACTAGCAGACAATTCACATACAGTATGCCAGGTTCAATCCAATATTGAAAACTGCTTCTATCCCTTTTTTATTAGGAACAAAACCCTTGCCAGTTTCGATTTGACTCTGGCATGGGAGACACGGATACATTTGAAACAGGTCTATCTGGTTTTTTATTATGGCACACACCAGTTTTCTGCACTATTATAATACTGCAGGAAGCTATGTTAATTTCCCCCATAATGTGCATTATGTACGTGCCACTTTGACATATAAGCATGAAGTATGCTTGTCCCCCAAATTGTGCACCACTTGTGGCTCATGTACTTTAATTTTCAAGCACAGGTGCTTATATTTCCTTTTTTATTGTATTAGATATGACACAAAGCTTTCCATGCAGGTTAATTTTGCTCACCTTTACTGTAGAACTGAAAGGAGGGCTGACTGGCATCTATACTGACCGACACAGGACCAACCTGTGCAACAGCTCTTTTTAGGGCCTTCTCATCTCCTATGGGTATTTCTTTGAAACCCTTGCAGCCCGCAGCTCTTCCAGATGGCTTGTAGAGACAGCCTTCATCCTGGTGCAAAAATAAAAGGACCAGTAAACTTCGAAGTGTTATCTATCAGATCATATCAACTAATACAGAAATTTTGAGTGGCACCCAAATGCACCTCAACAATGGAACTGCATTGCATGCAGCAAGACCTATTTTTTGTGCATTGAGGTGCATTGCAGCCCATTCATTTTAAATGGACTGCCTAAGGCAGAACACTGCAACATGCCTCAATGTATGAGTACCTGCATTGAGGTGTGAGTGGGTCATATGTCAAGTATTATTGTATCAAGTCTATGGCCAGCCTTACTGCCAAGAACAATGAATGAATGGGTAAGGGTAATGTCCTTTATTTTGGAATTAAGCTTTTTTGTTACCTAGACAGATTTGCAAAGAAATTGGACAAACCCTATTCAATGACATTGCCCAATGATCAAACCTACCTGGCCGATATAGGGATAAATGGAATCCGAGTCTATGCCATTGTTATCCCTAACATAGCCAAAAGCATTGGTCATGTATCCACCCTGACAGCCATAGTTATCTGTATCACAGTCCACGAGGTTCTGGGGACTGAGGGAGACCAGGTTTCCAGTGTTCTTCATGAGCTGGCCCTCCAATGCTCCCACTGAGCTAAATGCCCAACATGACCCACAGGCACCCTGCCAGGAAAAAAAAGAGTTTGAAGGCACAATTAATATTCTTGTTATTGATTTATACACTAGCATAATGTGCTGCCACGCCAAGTAAAATTGGTGGATAGTACAATATAAATACATAAATGTTTTATTTTTTACAAATGCACAGCAAAGCAACGAGATGCAATGGAAGACAGAGACCAACAATCTACAGGCATGTATTTTATAAGTAAACGAATGAGCAGGCTGTATATAAGGTTACCATGTTTGCCTTGTCATACTGTGGAGGAGGCAGCAGTGCTGAATTGACAACTTTAAGTACATTTGATACAAAATAATTTAACATATCCATCCTAGACTAAACTAATTTACATTGAAGGTACCACCCCAGCGTCTTAGACATCTCAATAGGACAGCGACAAGCCGATATTTGTTTTCATCCTCTCCGGGATGAAATCTGCTGGCCATTCTTGTGCACTGAGCCCTCATAGACTTGAAAGGGCCATATTTAGAGACTGGAGGTGCTCAGAGTCTGGCTCTATACAAGTTTATGATCGCTCCCTGCATAGGCACAACCAGTGGTGAAGGAGATTTTATACTGATTTTGTAGGGGATCTAAGCTGGTCCTGGACTTTAACCATACTATACGGCCATACCCACCCAAGACCTCCATAACTAATTTACAATAATGCTGCCATCCCAGCTGCTTACATATATTAGTAGGAGCTGCTGCTTGTCCTGATTCTATCCAGAATGAAATCTGCTAGCCATTCCTGTGCATTGAGCCCTCATAAACTTGAATGGGGCCATATTTAGACACTGGAGGTGCTCAGAGTCTGGCCCTATACAAGTCCATGAGTGCTCACTGTACAGGCACAGCCAGTGGTGAAGAAGATTTTATCCTGATTTTTTAGGGCATCTAAGCTGGTCATGAACTGTAGCTATACTATATGCATTTATTTCTAGGATGTCTTAGTGTTGACAAATGGGCTGACCTAGATATTTACCTGATTTTGTACTGGAGTCACGTAACCCTTCTTTCTGTAGTCAATGTATTTTGGGATCCGGGCTTTCCAGTCAGGCTCGTAAGTATTGTTAGACTGCTGATTGGATGGAACTCTTAGTCCAGTCATAGTCTGAACTACTTCTTCACTGGTCTGCCAATAAAGGAGCATAGAATATGAGTGTAAAACAGAGGTCATATTAGTCAATTAGAATTTGTATTTCAAATGCAATAAAAAGAGATCTACTTGTTGCCAACTGAAACAGGGACCCTTTCTTTATATTATAATAAGACTTACCCATTGACTTTTTTAAATTTTATTTTAGATCGAACCTAAAGTATTTTTCTACAACTGTAAGTTGGAATTTGGCAAAACAATTACACAAGTGGTCCCTGCCACTTCCATCTAGCCATTAGATATTGAAAACAGAGTAGGGATGGGCTTTGGGTTCTGGTTAAATGTGAGTTCTACCTGAACCCAGCCTGTTTGCAGTTCGGCCAACAAAATTACCCCTTCTGACCATTTCGCTTGAGAAAACATTAGCTGGAAATCAGTCATTTAGCAGCTTTATGTCAACAAACCAGCCAGGGATCCTGGGCAATGTCAATGACCAGATATGGTGAGTGTATTTTGGTGATTTGTGTAATTTTTATCTTGCAAATTACCCTTGAAAAAGGACAGAAAAAATACCAAACTTCACCTCTCAGACCTAACAGGGGTTTGGCAATATGTTGGGGGTTTGCAGACCTCTTGCTGGGTTTCGCTTAACCTCTTGCAAACCAAATGTTGCTTGATTCACTCATCACTAAATGAGAGTGTATTATATT